GCTATAAGTGCTTTTGATTTTATTTTATTTTATTTTTTTCAACAAACTAATTTTTAATTTTTTAGAAAAATTTTCTGGAAACAAATTCTAAAACCAAACCAAACAGATATTAGCATGGAAAAGTAAGCTAAAACCGCATAACTTTAAAATGTTTAAAAGGGGGGAGTTATTGTGGAGATATTTTTTTAATATTATTTTTAATTATTTTGCAATTTTGAAAAAGAGACTGAAATAAAAAAAATTTGTAAAACTTGTCCTTTATCATTATCGTTTTAAGTCTCAAATTATCTCAACCGCCCTTTGATTGATGAAAATGTCTATATTTAGTTTTGCCGCCCAAATCAAAACAATAATACTATAAATCCATCCTTATCAAATCAGAATTTACGTAGAAAAAAAAATCAATAACTTAAATTCATTTTATATGTGGATCTTACTTTTAATTAATTTAATTTCCATCATACAAACACATTCGAGCTAAATTTAGGATTCATAAGAATAAATTCTAACATTTTTCAAATTCAAATCTTAATTTAAAAATCTCCATATGAATTTTCACATTATACTAAAAACATTATTTAATAAATTTTCACCCAAAACAAAGTGGGTCACTGAGTTTACGAATGGCCCATGTGATGAAAATAAAATAATAATTCTATTTGCAGCTAAATAATAATTCATTAGTTTAATTAAAATTTAAAATTTTAATTCTTATTATATTTTAATTTAAATTTATTAATAAGAACAATAAATATCAAATTTTAAAATAAAATATTATTTTTTTCTTTTAACACACCCATATTTTTCACATTCAACTCTCTTAATCTTTTTCTTTAAATTTTTCCTTTTTTTTTTTTCGTCTTCTTCCTCGCTCCAAAATTCCAATTCACTCCACCAAAAATTCACCATCTAAGATCAATTGAGTGGTTTTCTTGAACTTGCGCACTGGAAAAGCTTTGAGGCCTTTTAAAAGCCAAAGACAGTTTGAGGAATGCAACTAAATGGTGATAAAAACTTGAGACTCTGAGTATTGTTTACTATTTGATCATTTTTTTTTGGCCTCTGTTTCACTTTTTTTATTTTTGCATATTCCTTGGAAGTCCTTTCTATATTTCATTTTTTCCTCTAAGCTCAAGAAATCCCTAATACCAAAATAAGTTGAAACACCAATGGCTACAAGTCAGAACGCAAATGAAAATGGAACAAGTTACCTCCCCCAAATAATTGAAAATGATCAATTGAAACAAGCATCAAAAGGATTTTTTAAAAGAATTTTTAAAGTGGTGTAATTTAAAATTATTGATTTGTTTATTATCTGAGTGTATCTTCAAGGGTAATTCGAGAAAAAACATAAGGTGTATTGAGAATAAATTATAATATAAATAATTTAATAAAATATACTGAAAAATTTAGCGTACTTAATAATTTTTTGGATACAAATAGAATCTCCCAAACAAAATGGGCTACTCACATTGATTGGTATCGACAAAATGTGATTGAAAATATTATATAAATTAATATTTAAAAACGATTACTATATAATATACAACAATAAAACTTTGAATTATTGAACAAGATATACATTAAATATAGATTAACAAATGACAAGGATTATATAATAAAACATATTTATAAGATTAATTAATGTAATGAGTCACTCACATGTCATCGAGTTTAATAATGTGCAACTTGCAAAGCGGTCTATTCACATGGGTTGGGGTTAGCAAAAACCATCCCATTGAAGAGATTTTATTCCGAATTTTAATTAGGAGCATTAATGTGTAAATTAAATTCATTTTGTACATACATCTCACAATATATTAATTAAATTTTAATTATACTTCTTCATTCATAATAATTTTTTTTTTTAATAAAAAGGATGGTAGATAAAATGTGTTGAACCTTTTTATATTACAAACCAGAGCACTGTTCAATGATTTGTACTTTTTAAATTATTATAAATTTTGTTATTTTGAAAAAATTAATTCTGAATTTAAAATAACGACTGTCATGCGCAAATAGAACTCCATTCTATAATAATGGATCCATTGCTTTAAAAGCTTTTACTCTTTTCATTTTCATTTCAATTCTTTTATGTACTTCTCTGTTCAACTTGGTTTACCAAAAAATATTTCACACAAATTTTATGAAAAAAATAAACGTTTTAAAAAAGTAGTCGAAATTAATCAAAAACAAAATGTGTGATATAATAAGATAAATGTAAGTCACGCCAAAATGAATATGAGTCATACACTTTATTTTTAGATAATTTTTTGAATAATTTTTTAATACATCATTTTTATTACTGTCACAAAAAATGAACAAATATTTTTATTATATTTTTACTATTGAAGTTTTTATTTAAAAATAAAATTAAGTCGTACTTTCATATGTAATTGTAATTTGTGTTGTAAAAGTATTTCTAATCCATTAGACATATAATGTTTGTTAGTCAAAATACCTAGTATAACTCACTTTTTTCAACTCCAATATATTAGGCATACGATTAAACATTTTAACTTCACTCATATTCACTAGTTACATGTAGCTAACCTTCAAAGTTAGGTAAAATGTATTTAATTATTAGAATCATTTCTCTCCATATTTATTATTGATGTGACATTTTATAAAGTTACTAGTATTTGGATGAATAACTAAAATAAAGAGTATGGTTGGAGTAGAAACATAAAATAGTTGATAGGCAAAGGTGGTGTTTGGGAAGTTTGAGACTTCTTTTTATTTTTTTCACAAACAAATAAACTTTTTACCAAATCAAAAAAAAAATACATCCAAACAAAATAGATAAAATACCTATTATCGTTGGAGATCCTCACTAGTCATTTTATTTCATTATAACTGATGCAATGTAATAAAAAGAGCCTAAAGGCGGAATTTTAATTGATTGATAATTTGTTGGTTATACAAAAATAAAGTGGAAACATTTTAATCTTATTGATAAAAATGAAATTGGATCTTTTTAATAATAAAAAAAATAATTATTTTGACAAAGAAATTTGGTCAATCTTGTTTTATAAATATGAGTTGACAGACCAAACCGCACTCAATTAATGAAAACTTTGTCATAATTGTCTGGTAAATATCCCTATTGTCGGACCAAAATCTAATATAGTAATCACTAATTATCATAGTCCAATATTGAAATCATATATCATATTATACAAATCATATATCAAAATTTATACAAATCACTTGTCTTTAGTGTCGGACTACTCAATAACTTTAATTTGCACAAACATAGGCTACTTGAAGAATTATTAAATAGCTGTGGATATATTATTATGTAGTGATTTCGAAACATTAAAAATAAAAAAATAAAAAAAAGGTTTGGCTATCTTTAATTTTTTATTTATTTGACAACTGTCAGTCAACATTATTTCACCTCATAAATTTCTTATTACATTATTAATTATGAACATTAGGGGATAATTATATTACTTAATACTCTAGAATTTTTAATGACCTATGCATATTGTTAAATTATATCACATTATTAATTGATATACTTGTTAATACATTAATTAATATGTATAGCATTATTCATTGTTAAACAAAGACCGACTTAGTTTAGTAATGACCCATGCATTGAAAGCAACGCGGACCATTCACATGATGGGTTCATGTTGACCAACTCAAGTAGAAAAAATGTATATAAATTAATAAGTTTTATAAAATTGGCTTATAATAATGAAACTTTAAAATATTCTTTTTATGGGAAACTTTAAAATATTAAAGAAGACAAATATTAGAAATTCTAAAGTTTAGACCTACAAAAGAGTTAGTTTATATGCTTGAGTGTGTTATAAATCAATAATTTACGTTTATTATGCTATATTATTATAAGTGTCAAATTAGGGAAGCATTTTTAAAATTTCAAACTTCCTACTCTAAAATATTAGCAATTTTAAATTTCAAAATAAAGATTTTCTAATGTAAATCATTCGCAAATAATACTCAATTCTATAAGTCATAATGGATTCATTGCTTAAAAGCTTTTCTTCTTTATATCTTCATTTCAGTTCCTTAATGTACTCACTCCAAGATATAATTTTTTTAACGATCAATTATTTTGGTTCCCAAAATTATTATTTTGATTTGTAAATATTTTTAGTGACAAATATAAATGGGAAAATTGGTCTAGGGTCCCTCTCCCACTTTTCATAATGGAAGAGATCCATAAAATTATTTGTTGATGTCTAAGGTCCCTACATGTAGCACGGAGAAATTTCACCTTACCAAATCAAAACTCATCTCTCTCTCTCTCTCTACGATCTCGTGCTCTTCTTCTCTCCTCTTCATCGTATTTTATCTATTCTGTCACTCATCAATGGAAGTTAGGGTTTAACACCGGCGAAGATGGAGTCGAAGTAGGTGCGAGGTGGGAGTATGATCAGAGCATTCTCATTCTGATTCGGATTGTCCTTTTGTTACTCCAATCCTAGAGCCGCAGCCGCAGCCACAGCAGCAGCAGAGAGCCCCCAAGAAGAGGGGGAGAAGCATCGTCTCTGATCGGAATTGTGGCACAGTGAAGCTGATAGATGGAGGTTAATCAAATCAGATTCCATTTCACACACCAAATAAAAGTCAGCCTCTCTGCAGATTAGAAGATTCAACAGAGCTCCAATGAGGTTATAGATATATATATATAGCGAGAGAGAGAGAGAGATGGTTTGGGGTCATGGTGAAGAAAACATGGCACTCCCATCAGTCACAGAGGTTGGTGTTCATGATCAGTTTTTATTCTGCTGTGCAGCAGTATATATATATATATATATGTGAGAGAGAGGGTGGTAAAGCAGAGGAAAGTTGAAGGTTGGAGTGGTGAGCGGTGTGGATATATCTCCAGAGAAATTCTCTGGGTTTGAACTAAAATTTCTCTGGATATATCCATCAAATGTTCTTGAAAATACTAACTGTTGTGTTCTTGCAAATGGGATTATTACTTGTTCAGATTATCAGATTTTGACTATGCTGATTGATAGTTCACAAATAAAGCTGGAATAGCATGGGTGGGTTTTGATGCGAATCAACAACAAGTTGAGCAACAGGCAACTGCTCTCCATCTTTCTTCACCAATGGTAGCTGAATCTTGGTCATGTTTAGTGGCTATTCTATGTGCAAAACATCACCGGTGGCAACATATTCACAGACAGTAAAATTTTGGTGGAAAGCTTAAAGGCAAATCTCAAGCTGACTGGGAGGTAAATATGGTGATTGATGATGATATTAAACACTAGTGTTTTTCAAGTTCCTAGCTGTGACTAAAGTAAATCGTGATGTAATTAAACCGGCACATACTCTAGCTAGACTTGTGAATGGTTTCTGATTATCTATAATATTTCTTTATTCTCAATTTTTATTTATTTATTTATTTTGGGTTCTTAATGGTTCTCTGCCAGAAAACGATAAGGTAAGAGGGAATTGTGTAATATTTTATGTTCCTTGCAAACATGGGTAACATTTTCTTGGTTTTTTCTCAGAGAAATTCTGATACTATGAATTTACTCAATAAGATGGAGAATTCTGTTAGAGTATCTCTTAAGAATCTTGGAGTGTCATACTTGGATCTCTATTTGATGCATTGGCCTGAGAGCTCGGCATTTGGAGATGCTACTGATCCTCCTACTAAGTCAGGGAGTGAGTATAGGCAGTTTCTGAATCGGTTTAAGACTACATGGACAGCAATGGAAAGTCTGGTGGAGTTGGGTCTAGTTCTAGCCATTGGCGTTAGCCATTTTAATATAGAGCAGATCAAAGAACTGCTCAGTGAATTTCTCTGAGTTTTTGTGATTTTCTCTGGGAATTTATCAGTGAATTTCTCTGAGCTTTGCACAAGATTGTCCTCCTTATTGTGCCTCATTCTGTTGATTTAAGCTCTTTTATGCAAAATTGCGGCTTTGCGAACATTCCGATCACAGCAGCAACAAAGAGAGTAATGGCGCAATAGTGAAGAGAGTCCCCCCAGGTATTTCAATTGACAAATTGATCAAATCATAGTTTTATAGTTCCAGAGAAAATTCAGAATTTCTCTGGTTCAACCTAGAAAAAATTCAGAATTTCTCTGGGTTCAACTCTCTGGCTTGAACTGAAATTTCTATGGGTTGATCTAGAGAAATTCTGTGATTTGGATTGACCAAACAGATATGTATGGTCACTGAGATATGTATATAAACTCTTTTTGGCATAAATTCCAACTAAGAATGGAAAAGATTCTGCAAACATCAACTCTTAAAATCAGAGACTCACCACCCACCCTCACAAATTATAAAATGTTCGTAAGCCAACAGATAGCACACCGAGGGCTTACCTTCCATGCAATCAAATTCTTTTATGAGTCTTGCAGTTGGCCTGTCTAGATCCTCTTGTTCAGCAACATTAAATACATAAACACCATTTAAATCGAAGAAGATTCTGAAAACATCAACTCTTAAAATCAGAGACTCATCACCCACCCTCACAAATTATAAAATGTTCGTAAGCCAACAGATAGCACACCGAGGGCTTACCTTCCATGCAATCAAATTCTTTTATGAGTCTTGCAGTTGGCCTGTCTAGATCCTCTTGTTCAGCAACATTAAATACATAAACACCATTTAAATCGAAGAGAGAAAACAAACAAGCATCAAACACACACTGGGAAATTTCTCTGTGACGTGAATTTTCTGGGAAGGACTGGGCCAGAAAAATTCTGAGAAGAATTTCTCTGGACTCAGCCAATGCATAGAGAAATGCTGAGAAATTCTAAGAAGAATTGGGCCAGAGAAATTCTGAGAATAATTGGACCTAAGAAATTCTGAGAAATTCAGAATTTCTCTAGGCCAGAATTTCTCTGGACTGAAATTTCTCTGGGCCAGAATTTCTCTAGACCAATTTTCTCTGGACTGAAATTTCTTTGGGTTGAAATTTCTCTAGGCTGAAATTTCTTTGAATCAAGGTTGAGGGATCTTAGACATTATGAAAATATTGTTGATAGATCTTAGACATTATAAAAATATTGAGTGTCCTTTATGCTCTAAAATCATAATACCAGGGACCTTAAAAAAAAAACCCCAATATAAATTCATCACCAAAAACGTCGCACAAAATTTTATTTTGTTCTCTGTTCAACTTGATTTACCAAAAAATATTTCACACAAATTTTATGAAAAAAACATTAACTGTTTTAAAAAATAGTTTAGAATAATTAGTGTAATGTGAATCACACCAAAATAAATACCAGCTACACTTTGATAACTTTTTGAATAATTTTTTAAAATTCCATAATATTGCTATTGATATTTCATTTTTATTATTGTCGAAAGAAAAATAAATAAATATTCTTATTATATTTTTACTATTGGTATTTTTATTTTAAAATAAAATTAAGTTGTACTTTCATAGATAATTGTAATTTGTGTTGTAAGTGACTATTCATTTTATTTCGGATAAATTACATTTTGCACTCAGGTACTTTATATCAAATCTCACTTTGATTCCTATACTTGAAATTATGATAGTTAACCCCTTATACTTCTTATCAAAACTCACTTTGATCTCTACACATAAAATCGTGACAGTCAACTCCTTATACTTTTGATCAAATCTCACTTTAATCCTTACAAAGTGTTGATGTTTTCCTTTTGATACTTCGTTGTTTAAATCTTTGATAGAATCCATTCATGTGATTACAAAATGATGGCAAGAGAGGAGAATCATCCTCATCTTCTACCAATATACTTTGTTCCAATATTTAAATTAAATTATAATTGCATTAAGTTAAAATAAATTGTAAACAATTCAAAAGATGAATTAAAATTTTGTATAAATTGGAATAACGAAATTCTATTTTCTATAGTAACACAATCTTCTGTTTATTCCTTTTTTTTTCTTTTTAATTTCTTTGTTGCCTTTTTAATTTCAAAAGTTCTATTTTCTTACCTCTTCGTTTCAATTTTCACCATACGAACATACATATATTGTATTATATAACTCTTATGTATTTATCACATAGAACAAAGTGTGTATTTGTGAAAAATATGGATAATTTTTCTCTTACTCTCATTTCATAGGCAAGATTCTGTTAAAAATTTAAACAATGAAGTAGCACAAGAAGATTATTGACACTTTTGTAAGGATTAAAGTAAGATTTGATAAAAAGTACAAAAGGGTTGACTGTTACGATTTTATATGAAATGATTAAAGTACGGTTTGACCAAAATGTAAGGAATTAACCATTATAATTTTATGTGTAGAGATCAAAATATGATTTTATACAAAGTATGATGGTACAAAATATAATTTACTCTTTTATTTCATTGTGCTTAAGATATATTGTAATAAAAAACAAAAAGAGCATAAAGGAAGTAATTTTAATTGATTGATAATTTGTTCGTTATATAAAAATAAAGTAGAAACATTTCAATCTTATTGATAAAAAAAAAAAATTGATTTTTTTTTTTTTATAATTTTCAAAAAGAAATTGTACGGGGAGGAAATAATTCTCCTCGTATAATCCTGTTGACCAAGTCCACGCTCCTCCGTACGACGTCGCTTTGTCACCTGAAAACAAAAACGTGAGCTAGCCGGCGGGTGTGTGCCGGAAACCTCTCCGATGCCTAAGTCAGAAAACTTGACAAATAGACAAAGCTCTAAGTTCTCAGAAAGATTGTGTTCAATTACCTCCTCCAAGGGATAATGTTCTCAGTTTTAAAACTGGAAAAAATTGATAATATTTTAGATTTTATTGAATAGTTGAATCAAACTAATAAGTAAAAGGGAAAAAAACGTTTAATCTCATGATTTTGTTTTTTTTCACCAGTTAGTGAAACAGTTATCTAGAACATTACTATACAAAATTAATAATGTTCTTAGTTTTAAAAATTAAAAAAATTGATAATATTCTCAGTTTTATTAAATATGACTTATTAGTTCAAAAAATCTTAAATATGACCTGAACTATTATAACATTTATAAATATGACTTTTAAGTAATTAACTCTAAAATAATCTACATTGAAATCATATATCAAATCATACAAATCATATATAAAGAAATTATACAAATCACCTGTCCCTAGTATTGGACTATTAAATAACTTTAATTTTGCACAAATATAGGCTACTTGAAAATTATTAAATAATTGTTGATACATTATTGACACTATTTATGTAGTGATTTTGAAAAAAAAAATTACAAAAAAAAAAAGAAAAAGAAAGCCCTAAGTTGGTTATCTTTGATTTTTCGGTGAGTCAATATTGTTTGTTTCACCTCTAAATTCTTTTACTACATTATTAATTACAAGCATTACATAAACAATCATAACATTTGATATTCTAGAATTCTTAAATATTCATGTTACTTGTATTAATTAATGTACCAACACTAGTTATGATTTAAATAATGAATTATGGATTGTTTGGGAAGTACTAAATTAGTATATTCTTTGACTTTTTACAGGAAAAAAAAAAACGTAAAATATAAGTTGAATTTGAAGTAATGTAGTAGAGAGGTGATGTAACTTAAATAAAATAATGTACTAAAATAAAATTTTAGCACATACTAAACAACCACTTAGGGGTTGTTTGGGGTGTCCTAAATAAATACACTTTTTGACTTTTTAGACTAAAAAGTCAAGGGAAAAAATATGATTGTTTGGGATAATTTTTTGTCTTTTTACGAAAAAATATATATTAAAATATTGTATAAAATGGCAAAATTACATTTTTACCCCTACATGGCAAACTCATCAGTGACAGGCGGCAGAGGATAGTACGTCTTGGTTGAAATGGTGCATGAGGCTTTACGGGTACTGTTGGGCAGTGGGGGCCCACCAAGGGTCCATTTTCGATAATCCGAACCGTTGAATGTGTAGAACTCGTTGAGTACTATATATTTATGAAAAATCACTTTAATCGGATATCGATAGTTATATGATCACAACAGTTTTGTATGAAATTAATGGATGGTGAAAAATAAACGAGTGAAAAAAAATCTAATTTGATCACATAGCTATCCATATCCAATTAACGTGATTTTTTACAAGCATATAGTATCGACGAATTCTTACACGGTTCGGATTATCAAAAACGGACCCGTGGTGGGCCCCCACGGGCCTAATATTACCATCCAACTTAATAAATATATACATCTAATTTTTTTTTTTTTTTTCATTTGAACCGACCAATACGTACTGAACCATCTGAAAAATCTAGAAATCTGCTAGATATTGATTTGTGATTATGTATCAATTTTAAGCAATAAAACAATTCCAATCAAACAATCAAGACAAATCGACACAACGATTTTAACGTGAAAAAATCACAATTAGAGCACCTCCAATTGTGTTAAAAAAACCATGGGCAACAGCCACAAAACAATCCACTAAGAAGATATAAAGGAATTACACAAGTATATTCTCAATTACCTAGCCAATCCACGCCCAAATTGAACCAACCCCTATGTGCCTCTTCCAACCCCGTCTTCACCTCGTAATTGTTTTGACGATGAGCCACTCCAGAATCCACCGAAGCTTCAGGCTCGAATTCTTCAAAGTCCACCGAAGAACAACTTTCTCTTTTGTGTAGAATAAACAAATAACCCTTTGATATATACTCTTTAAACCATGAGTTGAAACATCAAAGAAAACATCAAAGAAAACTAGCAAAATAGCCTCAGATATAAATCCTAGAACCCAAGAAGAAGATCTAGAGGCGTTCTCCTAGATTTGGAACAACTTGTGAATTTATAGAATCTGAAATCGCGAGGTCTGCTCGAGCGTGAGAATGGACGCTCGAGCGGGGAA